GTGGCCCCACGGCAGGGCCAGTCAGGCGCGCTCCCAAGCTTTTTAATATATTTCACATTAAGATTTTAGTAGATGACCGTAATAAAATTATGTTTAATCCTATTATACTCATTGCTAATACGGAGATTTTTTTTACTACCACAAACTATCTGAAAAGAACACCTTCTGCCATGTATCTGCTATAAAATTTTTATAGGATACATGAAACGTTGCATGCATGAATGTGATGTTCAGCATGGTGTCAGGCTGATGTGATATCACAGCCACTCAATGCATTATTACTTTTTTCCAGATACATCAGGTGATTGCTTTTTCCATTAGCACAAAATCTACTTCAGTTCAGTTCTACAAACACCTATGATTCATTTTTATATACATGTCACAGTTCTGGGTGGTGAAAACTAAATGAAGGAATGCAAAAACAAAAACAAAAACAAACAAAAACAAAAACAAAAACTAAATGCTTACTTAAAAAGCGTGGCCTTGGTATTACAGGAGCACAGATAATGTGCGCCCTCTACAGGTGCGACTGTGCATGTGTGGGTGTTCGATCAACTATATTAATAATTTGGTTTAGCATATAATGATCAGGCTGTAGGTTTAAAAATTTATATGTGATAACCAACATTAATCAAAATAAATAGATGGATTTAAAATGATAATGATGGTGATAATTTTGAATCTGAAGTGACATTGATGATGGAAGTTTTATTGATTTTTTCAGGTACATAAAATATTTCCTCTTTGCCATTAAAATGTACACAGTTTTCACTTATGTTATCATTCAAAAGTGACTTCTTTGCCCAAGCTGTTACTGGAGTCTCGGCCAACATCCTCCTTTTCTCTGGTATCATGACCCTCCTTCTGGATCCTAAGCCCACTGACCTCACCACCAGTCACTTGGCCTCGTCCACATCATGATGCTGCTCACTATTGTGTTCTTGGTGTCTCCAGACCTTTCTGAGTCCCTTCATTTTCAAAATGACTTCAAGTGTAAGATGCTTTCCTATCTGAGCAGGGTGATGCGGGGCGTCTCCGTCTGCACCACCTGCCTCCTGAGCGTGCTCCAGGCCATCGCCATCAGCCCTGGCACCTCCTGGTTGGTGAGGTTTAAACATAAACTCACAAATCACATGTCACATGTTCTTTCTTCTTATGGTCCCTCAGTTGTCCTGCAGTAGTTACATAATCTTCGACACTGTGGTTTCTTTCCATATGACTCAGACCAGTTTTCTGACGCTCAGTAAAACTGCCTCATTTCCCCAAGGAAATCCATCATCAGGAGCCTTATTTTTCTTACTCTGTCATTATCCAGAGATGTCTTCTTTGTGGGAATTATGCTGCTCTCAAGTGTATACATGGAGACTCTCTTGTGCAGGCATCAGAGGCGATCCCAGCACCTTCACAGCACCAGACTCTCCCCAAGAGTCTCTCCAGAAAAAAGGATGAGTTTCTTTGCGGTCATGTACTGAATGGATTTGCACCTCTCATCCTGCTCAATCCTGATCAACATATGATCCAGTTGTCCTGGGTGTCCAGAGGCTTGTGACCAGGGCCTATGCCACTGTGAGCCCTTTGGTGCTAAAAAAAGGATAACTGATATACTGCAAGTCATGAGACAGAAGTATTGTATATTTTTCTATGAAAATAATTATCCGAAAAGGAGATTCTAACATCAATTAAATTATTCAAGTATCAGAGGATTTGATAATTTATTTCATTACATTGTATAGAGTTCATTTAACACTGTTATTTTATGTAAATCATTTGGAAACTGATGCTGCCAAAGACTTGATGGATCCTTTAGTTCATTGTCCACCATGATTTCATAGCCTAATATGTTTGCAGTTTCTTGCATTTCATTTTGATTCATTGAACTTCATTTTAAAACATTTTTCTTTTTGAAGTGTATTCTTAATAAGCTCATATTGGTAATAAGATTTCTCATTTTTTTTTTTTTACTTTTGGAAATCATTTAGTGCATCCTTACTTATTCAAAATATGTTAGTGAAGTATCTAATTATTGGTTGAACAGTAACTTCTCCCAGCACTCTTACTTATTTCTGTGTTTTCTGACTGAACACAGGTTGTGAAGGCTTTGCTCTCACCTTCATTGTTTCTCTCTTCTTTTCTCTCTCATGCCTTTAAATTTTTTTCTTTTCTTTGGTGTTATGCAGTTTGACTTTTATTTCTGTTGAGTATTTTTTATTGGTGGTCACTATTAATCACAATACACTTCTGCATTCAAGGGTTCCCATCTGATATTCTGTTTCAGAAATTTATAAATATTTGTTATTAGTGTGATTTGTTATTTGTATGTAAGCTAGTGAAACCAATGTATTTGATTTCATTTCATTTTATTCTTTGTACATGTAAAATCATGTTTGTATTGTGATCATTTTGTTTTTCTGTAGTTCTCTTATTTATTCATCTCAGTATTCTAGTTCACTAATCCTGTTGTTATTAACTTGGTCTAATAATTAAACCATACATTGTATATTAAATTTACTTAAGTTTCAGTTGTTCAATTTGAGTCTTTGCAAAATATGCCTGTTTAGTGTGTGTGTGTGTGTGTGTGTGTGTGTGTGTGTATGTGTGAGAAAGAATCTCTCTGTCATCCAGGCTTGAGTTCGGTGGTGGTCATAGCTCACTGCAACCTCAAATTCCCGGTCTCAAGAGACCTTCTCACATCCACCTCCCCAGTAGCTGACACTACAAGCACACACCACTGTGCCTGGCTTATTTTTTTATGTCTATTTGTTGTAGAGACAGCTTTTGCTTTGTTGCCCAGGCTGATCTCAAACTCCTGGCCTCAAGTGATCTTCCTGCCTTGGCCCCCACAAGGTGCTGGGAATACAGGCATGAGCCACTGCCCCCAGTGCCTGCTTTAGAACTTCATGTGTTTTCAAAATTATTTTGATATTCTCCTTCCCCATTTGTTACTTAATTATTTTAAATACATTTCCAACCTGTGAAGTTTATGTGATGTATAATTTCTTCTTTCCCTTTTTTTGGGTAGCTTATTTTGTGTGCTTCATAATTTATAATTTGGTTCTTACATTATAGAGATCTCACATTTGGGATGGCCCCGGTTAGAAATTTTCTCTGTATATTCCAAGGGGCAGAGTGGATGATTTTCACAGGCTTGAGGTCTGTGTAATCAGCCCTGCAATCAGAACTGTACCTGAAGGCAGCTCTAACTTCTCGCTTTCATGACTCCTGTGAAT